TTGCTCACTATTGTGCTTAGTTTGTATTTGAAAAACCCTATTTATTCGGGTCACTTCGCGTGTGGACAGGCACCGCACACTGTGCGTGTGCCGTTCGCACAGTAGGCCTACGTGGATATGGCGTGCCTGGGGCCTGCGCACAGGCTAGTTTCTACGCGCGACAGGGTAGCCCATACGCATGCAAGCTAGTCCTATAGTGTACCAGATGAGGGAGACAACTACCGCCTCGGCAGTGTGTCACTGTGCACCTCGGGTGGCGTGCCGCTGCTCCTAGTGTTGTTGCTCCTGGTGCTGCCGCTGGTGGAGGAGGTCTTCATCCTCCGTTTTTCGTGCTGATCATTTCTTTTTCTCTCTCTCTTCATTGAATTTTACTACTTGGAGCAAATCTAATGACTCTCATTTTCTATAAGTAGGGGCTCTTCCTTCCTATTTTCTCTACACATTCATTCATCTACCTTTCAAGAGAGAGAGAGAGAGAAGAAAGGAGGAAAAGAAGAACGGTGTAGAAGAGATTATCAATGTTTTGGTAAGAAATTTAGTATTTTTTTAAATGTCTTAAAGAATATTTTTAGACAAAAAGAAAAAATTAAATTGATAACTCTGTGGTTTTGCCTGTTTTGTGTTTTGTTGACTTACTAAGTTGAATTATTCTTGATTTCAAGCATGTTGTGTGAGTGATAAACACTTAATGATTTGCATGTAATTAAAATAATATGAAACCGGTAAGGTTATTTGGAAAATAAAAAGAACAAAAAAAAAAGATTGAAGCATGAATGGTCTAAAGTATGTATCTGTATTGAAATGCATAACGCATCAAGTATCTCCTTAAACTTTTTAGTTTTGAGGGGTATTTGTTCCCCTATCCCCATCCGGGATATCTGTTTTCCTCCTCTCCCATCTGGTCTAGAAAGACGTAAGAGAACTGCTCCTTGTGGATGACGGCGTACCTTTTGACGAGAGTGGTGATGCAAATATCTGTTAGAGATCACAGTTGGCTAAGTACTGTTATGACTATAGAATATTTGATATTACCACTATGATTAGTACGATCGTGGTCATAAATTGTGCCATGGTTTTATAAGCCGAAAATATCTCTCTGCAAATTATCGTTATCTGTATCTGATCTGATTATTCTATATGGATAGTCGAAAATCTATATCTGCCTTTAGAGATAGAAGTTGTAAGGATTTCGCGAAGCATGACATAAAAATATGAGCATTTAATGATTTGTTTGATTTTCTTCATTATCTGGCATGTTGTGTGTTTGTCTTGATTATATTAACATGATGTTTTCTCTAATAAATACATTATTTTCATAAGATAAGATTGGTCTACGAAGTTACTAAATGATAAGTATTTATGTTACAATAATTCACCTTTAAAGCCTTACAATATTATTTAAATGCTGTTTTTCTTACTGAAATATGGAACTCACTCTTTTCATACCTCTCTCCCCCCCCCCCCCCAGATAAGGAAGATAATGAAGAACCACCAGCTAACTTACCTATTGAAGTTTATAAGGATTCCGTGGATTTGCAAATCTTGAGTGCATAATCGTCCTCGCCCTCTGATGAGTCCAATAACATAGTGAAAGAAATTGCTCTCTTTTGTATCTTGACATTGTATTTTGCAACCATTTCTGACCTCAATAATATATATGTAATTGAAACTCATATATTTATAAGAGATTTGTATTAATTTGCTCTACTGCATATAATTTTTATCATGCACTCATAATTCTATTTCTGTATCTAATACCCACATATCTTAATTAGCATCTGGGATGTCACATAACTGATTAGAGTATGAGAAATGAGTGAAACTTAGGGAAGATACAGGTGAAGAAACTGCTGATTTATGTTATGGTATGCCGATATTGGCAAATGTGTGTATGTATGGCCAATTAATGCCGATATATGCTGGCTGTTTGTGTGTTTATGAACAAAGTTTATGGCCAGTAATGGTTGAAGATCTTCATTTTGTTTTACTTATATGATGACATCTAAGATTATAAGTAAAACTAAAATAATAATGAAAATAATTAGGAATAGAAGAGGGAGTGGTTTAACATCAAAATTGTGCTAAGTGGAAGTTGATGAGCTTCATAAAACCTTGCAGCTTGGGGAGGATAATTTCTGCAAGTCTGAGATGTGAGGAAAACTGTTGGGTTAGTGAGGAGAAACTGAGGAGCGTGGGAATAAGCCTAGATGATTGAAAGGAAAATAAAGGAAACACGTGAATTGAGAACTATCTATAGGAAGAGAACAGTGGGTGGGGTAAATAGGAGAGGACATAAATCGAATGAGAATTTCAGAGGGAAGTAGTGGCTTTGTAAATGGGAGTATGGTTATGTGATTTGTCAGTACAGAATTACTCACAAATAAAATAAAACAGAATAGGAGTAGGAGAAACTGTTGGGATAAGGCAGGGAAGGGGGGGGGGGGGGGAGGGAACAGAATAAATGGAATCAAAGAGAGGATACCAGCCTAGGAATTAAACTAATTTTCATACGTTATTTTCAAGTTCTAAATTTAACTATAAGCCTGTGTATGCTCATTACATGTTATTTTCAGATGGTGTAAAACAAGAGCCCGAATTAAAATTACCATCAATGGAGCCCAACACTAGAAGAGGCAGATCAGCTAAATAGAATACTAACCATTGATACACACACTTATACATAATAGTTTAATGTTACTCTTGTAAACAAATTTCTACATTGCATATCGAGTTAGTAGATGTGATACTGATGGTTTGGAATAAATAGGACAGAATACATGTGGCTGAATGCATTGTGGATATTTACTTTTGAAATAGAAATTGGTTTCACTTCACTGTATGATGTATTATTACATTAGAATTTTATGACATATTACATCGATTTCATAATTTATGTCGAGGCGTTATATTTTTACTATTAAAGATGAAAGATAATTTGCACTAGTTTATTATTATAGTTATACTAAAATATTCACATATTTTTTATTTTATGTAAAAAAATTAAGATAAATGTGATAGCAGTAATATATATCTTACGGCTGTAAAAATAGTATATTAAAATTTAAATTTGATATAAAATAAAATACTAGTTAAAATCAATTAAGATCAAATAAATATTTATGTATTAATAAATTTTAAGTTAAAGAGGTAAAAAATCTAAATAAAAATTGAAATGAAATTAATATTGTAATATTATTGGTGAAACAAATAAAATTAAAGAGAATGGTAATGACAGAAAATATAATAACGAAGTAAATTTTTCATGAATGAAAATTGTAAAATATAATGATTTTAGTGTATTATAAATTTATAAAATAATAAATTGAGCAAACATAAATAATCATCTTCACTCAAAAAGTAAAAAGTAAAAAGTAAAAGAGCAACTATTATGGTATTAGTATTATAAAAGATTTTTCTTTAATTAAATTTTAATTTTATTGTACAGGGTGGTGAAGAGAGAGAAAGTTGAATTGTCACCTCAACATTCACTTCCCAGCCGTCTGATTCGCAAAATCTTCTCCAAATATATATTTTTTAATTTTATAAAACAGAAAAAAATCCCAACAAATAAATTAATCATCAAAACGCATCGAATTCCGTACAAAATGTTCTGCTAATTTCTTATACCATATTATTTATATTTTTAAAAAATATTTTATCTATATATTAAGAAATATTTTATATTTATTATAAAAAAATATTTTGTACATGATATTTTATATATGTACTTAAAATATTTTAAGAATAAAGCTCTTATGAGGACTTATAATTTTATTTGAGATATACTTTTATTTATCATAATATTAAATCTTATGACTTTTTTAATATTAACTTTAATTTTAGTAAAATTAGGGAAAAAAAAAAAAAAAAAAAGAAAACGAAAATTACTTAATTTGAGTGGACCCTACCTGTGCGGGAGCAGAACGCACCGTATCAACTCAAGATTTCACACGTATCGAACTGTCCGTACCAGAAATGGGAATAGTTTAGTTAACGGCGGCTTGCCTTTTCCTGACGCCGCCGGTTGGGTTTGACTACGTCGTCGTTTTGACCGGCGGTCAATCAAACGTCTTGGTAATATTGGTTTGTCTTGGATTCTGCAGCTTGACGGTGATAATCTCTTTAGTTGAACAAAAAGCCAAGCTTGCTTTTGGATTTCCTTTGGGATCCCAAAAAATTAAAGTTTGATAAATATTTATTATATATAATTTTGGGTGTAATAATAAATTGTTTTTTTAAAAAAATGATGTAATAAAAATTAACTGACATGTAGTGTAAGATCCTGGAAATCTTGTTGGTGTACTTGGGATCCAGGTGGCTGTGTGATACGCCCGAGGGTGTTGGTCAAAAATCGTCATTCAAGAGTACGGAAATGTATGAGAAAAAAAAGCTTATTATATTATTTAAAATAGATTATTTTTAATATATGTTATTTTTATAGCTTTATAAAAAAACACTACGAATTTAAATAATTTTATTAAATATCAAAATGTAGTGAAATTTTTTTTTAATAAATTTATAATTTAATCATCATATGCCATGAAAATATTTTTACAAATATTACTTTTCTGTTTTTTAAAAGAAAAATTATGATTGCACTTTTTCATTTTATTCAATTTTAATTGTATTAAATATGAGTAATTCATTTACACTAGGTAAATAAATAAAAAAATTACATATTTCAAGAATATTGTTCACAAAAAAATATTTTAAAAATAAAAAATGACTTACCTTATTATTAATATATTTTTTTATATGTATATAGAATCAGTATATAATTTATTTTATTCAACATTACATACTTAATAAATACATAATAAAGTAACTTGTATTTGAATATTTAAATTTTACGATTATAATTTCATTTATTAAAGAAAGAGTTTTAGTGTTACCCAAGAGTTAATAATTAATAAAAGATTTTGATTTATAGAAATTTGAAGGAGATACGATCAAACCAAATATTATTATTATATGATGTTTGACAGGACCATAAACAACTTGCCTTTTACTAAAGAAGATTTGCAAAGATCTTACGAAATTGGATCCTCAGAATCTCCACCTTTACTCTTCATTTTAAATCTCTCTCTCTCTCTATATATATATATATATGTATTTCCCGTTTAAAGCCAACACCACCACTTTCTTCCTCCCTCAAATCTTCTCCTGCAATTTACATCAACCTTACCTTACCCCCATTATAAAACACACCCACCGTACTTACCCTCCCAACAAACCTAACAAATCATTTCCAATTTCCTCCAACAACAAATGGCCATGGCCGCTCAAGTTTTGATTCCCGAGGTCGCCGATCTCTCGCCGGAGTTGCATGTTCTCGCCGTCGATGATAGCCACGTCGACCGTAAAGTCATTGAGAGACTCCTTAAGATATCCTCTTGCAAAGGTATAAAAATTATCTGTCTTCTGTTTTCCATTTTGTTTTAGATGGAGATTTTTTTAAGTAACTTGAGTTTATGGAATTTTGCAGTGACGGCTGTGGATAGTGGAACAAGGGCTCTTCAGTATCTAGGGTTGGATGGGGAGAAAAGTTCCGTTGGGTTTGAGGTGAGATAATAATTCCGGTTCTTTTTTGTTTGGTTGCTGAGAAAATGAAAGAAAGAAAGTAAAAGAATATCAATCGACTACTAGCTTGTTTTCTTTTTATTTTTATTTTTGTATTTTTGGTGGCTGATTTGGTGTTGGATTACGGCAGGGTTTGAAGGTGAACTTGATAATGACTGATTACTCGATGCCTGGTATGACTGGATATGAACTTCTCAAGAAGATCAAGGTTAGTCTCGTCTTCTCCATCTTCTCACTAAACCTCTGTTTGTTTCTCGGTAAATCTTAACATTTTAAAAGAAGAAAAGAGAAACATAAGCAAATTTCCTAAACGATGTTGATTTGGTATTGCATGAAATTATGTTTTCAGGAATCATCAGCTCTAAGAGAAATTCCAGTTGTGATCATGTCTTCAGAGAATATATTGCCTCGCATCGATAGGTAATAACTCTGCAAATCTCATTACAAAAATGATTAAATCAATGTTCCATTTTCCCTGCAAATCTCATTGTAGAATCATTGATCAAAATATTCCTCTGCTTGCCAGAAAAACATAAAAGAAGTATTTTCCTGTTGAAATCCATGGATTGATAAATAGTTAAATCATCTTGACTTGAATTGTTCTTTAATGGGTTAATTTAATTTCACAAGGCTAAAAAAGGTTGTTGTGCAAAATTAGGAAAAAAAATCAAAAGTAGGAGATTTTGGTGAATAATATAAAATTTCACATGGCTGTGTACAGTACACGGGTCCAGATCCATATCGAATTTTCGTTGATCTTGTGGATCCCATAAATTATAATTTAAAGATATTATATTATTCAAACTCTGATTATATATATTCTTTGGACAACCAAATTTCATCCGATGATTGCCTCCTTGTCTGATTTTGCTCTGAAAAATATGCTTTTTCCTAACAAGAAAATCTTTCTTTAGAAGATTTGAATTTGATTCTCTCTTTTTAACTCGCTTTTTGTAATCAACTGATCTGCTGGACAATAATCAGCTTTTGATTATCATGATCTTAATTTAATTAATTAATTAAGCGGGGTGAATCTGGCAAAAGTTGGACTTGATAGGATTATTATTATAATATTACAGATGTTTGGAGGAAGGTGCAGAGGAATTTCTACTAAAGCCTGTTAAGTTGTCTGATGTAAAACGCCTGAAAGATTTCATTATGAAAGGGGAACCAGAGGAAAAAAGAAACCCACCAAGAATTTGCAAGAGAAAGCTTGACAAAATCGATATCGATCAGCCATCACTTGCCTCTGGTTTACCCAACTCACAGCAATTGTCTTCATCTCTGACGACGAAGCAGGCTAAACTGCAAACGGGAGATTAACTTGTCAGAGACCAACTTGTCGACGTAGAAAACTGAGAATGGGAGAGACTAACTTGCAGGCGGGGGAGGGAATTTTTGAAAGTATGTGTGTAGTAGATGAGGAAGAGAGATTTAGATGAGTTCTGTGCATACTATTAGCAGCAGCAGACAAAAATTGCTGACAAAGAGATTATGGAATTCAATTTGGAGGGGTCTTTCATGTTGAAAAAAACAGATTGGAACCTTCTTCATTCTTTCTATAAATGAAATTGGAAGGTTTTTTTTCAGTTCAATTTGTAGATTGTAATTAATTTACATTTTCAAAGTTAGATATTTAAATAATATACAATTAGTCTTTTTTCTGATTCAATTTGGTAAAATTGTTACTAGAATTTATTAATATATAATAATATGATAGATTATGAGGTTTTCCAAGTTTTAAGTTTTTTAACTATAATTTTAAGCAATTTTTTTTTTAAAAAAATATAATTTGTTTTATAATTAAATAATCTATTTAATCAATTATCGTTCGTTGTCTATAAATTATTATTATTATTTTTAAAGTAAAAAGTTGATGAAATGATTTTGGTCACAAAATGACCACCACCGCTTCCAATAAAACTTTCAAATCCCTTTTTTTCATTTATTGTATTAAAAATCAAAAGCTTATGATGAGTGAAAAATATTTGGATGAACTAAAAAAGTTTAAATGAAACCAGACCTAAATATTGTAATAAAAGAAATAGTTATAAATCCATTAAACCATATTGATAGAGATAGAAACGGCGAAGGAAGAGGTCGTCTAAAAAAAAAAAAAAAGTAGAAAAATAGATAATTTAATTTTAATTTTTTTTTAAATCGTGGTAATAAATTAAAAAGATTAAACTAAATTTAATTAAATGTTATTTATTTTTCTCATTTAATTAACCCAAACAATCTCTTCTTAAACAAATGTTAACTTGTAAGGAAAAGTCAAAGATCGTAATCCACTATTTCTATATAAAGTAAAAGATTTTCAAAATGGTTGGTGTGATCCCAAGTAGGCTCTTGGATAATGGGAGTAAATTGAGTTAGTCTTTTTTTTTTTTTTTTTTTTAACAAAATGTTATATATTTTGGTGAAGCAAAACATTTAGTGCAGAGTAACTAGTAAGAATTAATGACTTCAATCCCAAGTATTGGGTGGGAGCCAAACTTGATTTAATCAAATTTAAAAAGTTGACTTATGTCTTAGCAAATTTACTCATACACATCTTCATGAATTTAGCCCTACTTTTATTACGATATTATTATTAATAATTCCATATTTTTATTTTCCCATAACAATAGAAAGAAATATGTATATCCATAAAAAAGTTCCCCCGTTTTATTCTATACAATTTTACAAAATAGTTAATAAATAATTAAAACTTAACTAAAAATATTAAACACTAACAAAATAAAATATAATTTAAAATAATATTCTAGCATAATTGGAACTTAATATCAAATATAAAATATAATATTTACATATTTAAATTAACTAAACTATTCGTTACTCAAATTAGAGATTTTAAATAATATTTAAAATTTATTTCTATATTTAAAAAATTAAAATAAATAACAAATCCAAATAATTCAAAATAAATTATCCATTATATGCTATCATATTAATTTATTTTGATATTAAATTTTTATAGAATATTAAAATTAATAATATAAATTTAATAATTATATGTAACGGCTTCGAAAATACCAAAGAAAATAAATTATAATTTAAGTGTGGAAGCGAAATAATTAGTTAAGGTTTACATTCCTTACACAATAACTTAAAGTGCTGAATAGTGCTAAGAGAATCACCATTTTAAAATAAATGTAAAAAAATAAGGAAATAAGCGAAAAATAAATAAAACTAGCATCATACTCGCAACTCTATTGTAAATCGGGCTCTGGATGCTGGTCCTCTTGATATGAAATAGTTAAATAAGAAATAAGCTACACTGGCCTAATAAGAATATCACGCTACTCACCGACACAGAATTAAGGTTGATAGAAAATCAAAATAATTAATGGAGCACTTAATTAAACAAATGTATTTATTAATAATAAAACCAGTTACCGTCCACTTACCGTAGTGAAATTTATAAAAGCAACCTATAGAGATAATAACATAGTACTTATCATGATTTCATATGTAATCAGTAACATGCACACATTATAAATCCATATTCAATAAATCACATAACAACTATCAATTTCCATCAGTCTGCTGGCATCCATGGGGGTTCATAGGGATGTCCCCGCTACGTGCGAACCATTTCTTTTAACATTATCAATTAATGGGCCGTCCCCATACCCCGTCCGGTATGAGAGTAAAACGAGCCCTCCCCATATCCCGTCCGGTATGAGCACCAAATTACCAAGTCTCGATACCCCGTCCAGTATGAGACAATGTTCACGGTAGGGTTTTCTATTGTACCCAGTCCATCCACCAACTCATAGAATATTCAGTAAGACTGCTGTTTTATCCATTCACTTAATCACATAATTTTTTATTTTTCTTTAGTCTACATTTTCCAATTCAATGGTAATCACATAAATTAAGTAATACATGCATTCAAAACTATATAAAATCGATCAATGAGATACTATTGTGCAATTAACTGTAAAATAATTCAACAGAATCAACAATAGATAATTTTCGGTTCTGCCTCTATTAGTAATTTGTAATTAATTATGAATATTTTTTAAATTATACAAAATACCGTATTCTTATTTATTTATACATCAATTCCATAACAGAGAATAGGGTGAGAGATTCTTACTTAATTTGACATCCAAAAAGGTAAGCTGTTAATTGCGCCTACTGGCAGTCCTCGGGTTTCCTGAATTTTTTTTTGAGGATTAAAACGCGCTATAAGTATCCAAAAATATCTTAAAAAATCCAAAATCGGTTTCAGGACCCATTTTTGGCTAATTTCAGAATTCTAGTACGACGGCTATCTACCTTGGATCGACTGTTTTTGGTCGATTTTCCATCAATCCATGCGAGAAAATATGATAAAGGGCATCGGTTGGCCAAAAAAATATAAAAAATTGAAACTCACTGACGGTGGAGCTCTCCAGTGCGGCGGCTCCTCCGACTCACATTGTGGTTGGGTGTTTTGCTCCTGTCAACCTGTAGAGAAGGAAACGGTAATCACAATGGTGAAAAAATTATGCAAAACGAGAATCAGAAAGGGCCTCATCAGAGGCATTTTGTGTGGCAGTGCCGCCGAATTTTGCCCGCAGTTTTTGGCCAATCTGCCAGTCTTTTTACTCCAATTTGGCCAGGGGGGTGTTTAAAACTTAATTCGGAGCAAATTTTTTTTTTTTACCTCTTTTGGTGGTCGAAAAGGACTCCGGTGCGGTGGCGGCTCTCTTTCGTGGTGGCTAGGTCTTCTTCTCCGACAAGAGTGTCTGACGGCTAGGGTTAGGTTTTGGTGTGAAGAGGATTATTTACATCCATCACCATTTAATCTGAACCGTCCATTGCGTTTGATCTGTACCATCCGATCGCGATTAAATAAGGAGTGAATGTGGACCATCCATCGCAATCTAATATGGACCATCCGATCGTGTTTAAATATGAAGTAGATCTGGAGTATTGATCGCGTTTAAATATGACCGTTCGATCGCGTTTGGGGAGGGAACGCATCCAGGCCGTCCATGCGCATGGGAACGGATCTGGGCCCTTCGACCGTGGGCACGCAAATCGCTCGCGTGGACTCCCGCGTGGCACCGTATCAGTGTCTGTTGTCACGCAGCGCGTTTTGGTTCGTCGGGACTGCTGATCAGACATCTTATGTGGCACAAATTTTTTAAATTGCATTTTGACCCCTGTTTTCTGATTTTTCTTTCAAAAATACTATAAGAACCCAAATTTTCACCCATTTTTTTCCAAAATCGTTTTCAATTTCATCCTCCATCAAATTTCCTTCATTTTTATATTAAATTAAAATTAAAAAACTTAAAAAATTACATAAATTAATTTAATTTATATTAAATTAAATTTGGGCATTACATTATATACATGTACATAAATTAAAATTACATAAGGGAATGAATATTCTATTAAATTTATACTGTGCTTATGCCTATTTCGAATTTTTAACTTTAAAAAATGCAAATTTTTTTAAATAATATTAACTTAAAATATCGATAAATATTCAAATATTTTAATAATGCATATGCATATTAGTGAAAAACATATTCATGATTTATGCAATTTGAAAGAGTATTTAGGCATATCTAGGTAAGTCAAAAGAATCAAGTTTTAATTCACAGATAATTATCCCCGTATTAACTATTCTCCATACTACCAAAGGAACTTCAATATATAATATATTAACAAAATCTACAAACTTTAAAAATTTTTAGCCATTATATAATATATTGTAGCATTCTAAAATCGTCAATTAAAAATCAAACTATAGAATTTCAGATTCATATGGTGAACAACAAAATTTAAAAATAGAAAAATTAAATTAAACAAAGATTCTTACATGTCCATAAATTGAACACAAACTATAATTTTAAAAAGAACTAACAAAAAAATCATTAAATTATGAATATTCAAAAATTCCTTAATTATCATCAAAGTGATATGACGTAATGGCTCGAACTCCCATTCGAGTTCTAGTCGCATCCTGAGTACATAATGATAAATAATTTATAAAAATATCTCGTATAATAAATATTTAAAAATTAAAAAGTATATTGTAAACCAAACTTTCCTTTTTTTTAAAATTATTATTGTTATTTATATATATATAAATATAATTATTATTTATATGATTTTAATTTAATTTATTTAATTTTAATTTCATTTAATAAAAATAAAAATAATAATAAAGGTAAAAATTGATTAGGAATTTAATTGAAAATAATTTTGGGAAAAATGGGTAAAAATTTGGATTCTGGGGGTATTTTTGAAAAAAAAATCAAAAACTGGAGGTCAAAACGCAATTTAGAAAAGTTACGCCACGTCAGCTACCCGGTCAGCAGTCCCGACCAACCAGGACACGCCAGGTGGCAAAGACACTGACGTGGGAGGCCAGGGGGGGGGGGGGGGAGGGGGGAGCCACGTGGGCGATCCGCGT